GTGTCTCTGTCTCCTGGCAACGACCGCAGGGACCAGTCTCAGCCTGCCTGGGATTCCCGTCCCCCGCCCCAGCCCCTGCTCAGACCCTCCCCCAGCTCCCCTGGGCCTCCTCCTGCCCCACACACAGTCCCCTGGGACAGCTCCTTCCCACCATCCCCAGGGAATCTCCATATCCAGGCACCTTCCCCTGAGCCACCTCTCCTGCTCCTTCCCTGTTCCTTCTCCCCTGGGCCACCATCTTCTCCCTTGGACAAACTCCCCTGGGACACCCCTGTCCCCAGATGATCTCCTTCCCAGCTTCCTTCGTCCCTGGGCAACCCCTTCCCTGGTTCTCCTCCTCTAAGCTGTTGCTCCCAGAGAACCTCCTTCCATGGGCACCTACACCTGGGCCACCTCTCATGCTCCTGCCTCCCTGGACCTCCTCCCCTTGGACGCCTCCTGCCTTGAAAATCCTCCCCTGTATCAACTCCTCTTCTGGCCTCCTGCCCCACAAACCACCTTCCCTGGACCATCCAAGGACCATCTCCTCCCCTCCAAACCACCTTCCTTGGACCATCTCCTCCCCTGGGCAACTTCCCTCTGGATTCTTCTCCTTTCCTGAACAACCACTTCCCTGGATTTCCTCATCCTCTGGGCAACCTTCTCCTTTGAACAACATTCCCTGGATCTCCTCCTCCCCTGGTCACCTCCCACGGTCCCTCCTCTGCCCCCCACACCCCCCCAGAGCTCACCCACCTCGGGGCTCCTCCAGGACCCCCCACCTGCAGCCCTGGGGAGCCAGTGACCATCTCAGCACCGCGGCTTTTAAAACTCCCGAATCCAAGTTTTATTTCCGTGAAGGAGAAGAGGGATCACTCACAATATATTATTGTTCAAAAAGAAAATACATTCAACAGCATTTACAGTGGAATGACATTAAAATCCTCCAGGAGGAACAGAAGGACCAGGAGATGGTGCTCTGGTTAAGTGCTGCTGACAGATGAACTCTGGAAGATGGAGCAATTTTTTTCAATTAGCCTAAAATCCGGGGGATTCCTGGGTTGGGGGTGCTCCTCGTGCTCCCCTGTGCTCCATGGAGCTGTGCAGGGTTGTGATGGGGATTCCCAGATGGATGTGGCCATGGGGGCACATCAGAGAGGACTTCTCAGGGCCCTAGAGCCGAGCAGGACCCTCGGAGCCAGCACTTACAGGGCAACATCCTGCTCCCCACCCTCCTCTGCTGCAGGAACACCCAGATCCAGCTTTGGGAACAGCCTGTGCTGGAGTTTCTCCCCTCTCCAAGCTCCCAGGTGACACTTGCATTGACACAGCAAAAAGGAAAGTAAGGCATTCTGAAAAGCTCAATTTTTAGCCCATTTTACAAACCCAATTCAGGCCTCAAGTGGGATAAATCCCCCAGAACACTTTGGTGCTGCCACAAACCAACCCAGCGGCATCGGGATCGGTGTGGAGCATCCTCTGCTCTCCCAGGAAGGACACCTGGGGCCAGGACACCGGCAGCTCTCCACGGGCTGAGTCCCACTTCTAATGAAGTCTGGACCATTTAAGACCTGCCTCGGCTTTCCTGAGCCAGGGCAAAGCTCCAGGAAGGGTCTGGAAGGAGTGAACAGTGGCTGTGACACCCAGGACCTGGGAAGCAGCTTGGAGCATCCCACTTCCAGGGATCCCGAGTGCCGCCCCTCAAACCCCAAACACATAGTTTCCAGAGGGGAATGTCTCTGGAAAACCTTTTCAATGCTACTGCATCCAGCTCTGGAGCAAAACACAACTTCCCTGCTTTGGGAATCACTCCATCACCATCCCCTGACCTCGGGGACGAGCCGAGGGGGATCGTACTCGTGCTGCAAAAACTCAGACAGACACTTCTGTCTTCATCATTTTTCATCTATTGTGTACCATAGAAATTTAAGCAAAATAATTTTATATATATTTATATATATGTATAAATTAGAAGCAAATAAATAAGATGAAAGGGTCCCTTGAGAGCAGTGGGGGCTGTTCCTCCCCACGGTGACGCTGTACAGGGCTGGAGGGACTGTACACGTGGGGGAGAACGGGGATGGAGGTGCTGGAAGCTGACCAGGAGACTGATGGATGAGGAACCTGATTGCATAAGTGTCCCATGTGCAGCCTGGATATTCCAGTTATCGTTGCCTCGAAGTTCGTTATTGCTAATTATCCTCTGCCGGGGATGTGCCGGGAGGCAGCGCCGGTGTGATATGGTGAGGAGCCGGAGAAGAGGACACCAAAGATGACATCCAGCGGGGCAAGTGCAGATGTCCAGCTCTCCCTGATATTCTCTGGCCCAGAGGATCCCACCCTTCGGTGCTCCGGGGCCGGTCACCGGCAGCGCTCACTCCGCTTCTCCCGGCGGGTCCAGGGCCACGGGAAGGCCGTGGCACACAGGAGGGGTGAGAGGGGACGAGGGGTTCCCTCAGCCCCAGTGACCTGAAGCTGCTCCAAGGAAAGCCCAGCCATGAGGGAGCAGAGGGAAGGGATCCAGGAGCCGGGCGCTGGGACCCTCTGGACTCATCCCATGCCAGGGGACTATGGCCAGACCTGTCTGGCTGGATGGGGAAGACACAGGGGGAGGAGATCCAGGCCCAAGGCTCCATCCCAGCGGCACCACAGCATCTCTTTCCTCCTCTCCCACCCAGCTCAGCAGGGAGATGCAGCTGGAAAGCCTGGCACCGAGGTCCAGGCTCCTGCCAGGCCCTGGATGCCGGGATACAGGGCAGGGACACGGATCCTGGAGCATCGCTGGGATACAAACCTCTGCACTGGGTCTGCCTGGCATTCCAGACCTCGGCAAGGCCATTCCCCCTCCGATGTGGCTGCAGGAAAACCAAACCAAACCTCACTCAAACCACTCCCACAGAGCATCACGTCAAAGACAGTCCCAAGCCTTGACTGAACACATCAGACGGTGGGGAAGCGGCTCAAAGGCTCTTGAAAAAAAACCAAAATAACAGGTCAAAAAACCAAAGTCACCAGCTGAAATATCCTAATTGGTGTTACTGGGACGACTGGGCACTGCAGGAACCACCAAGAGCCTCCGGGATCAAGCGCCACGGCCCCTGGGGACAGTTTTCCGAGCAGGACTCAGGGTTGTTCGTGTCCGTCTTTGAAGGAACCTGAACCAGGAGCAGATTCTTTTTTTTAAAAAAATAATTCCATCAAGTCCACACAGAAATAATGGAAGGGGAAAAATAACATGGCAAAGAGAAGAGCTCACACAAGCGCACGGCATTCCCACACCCCGGGCATCTTTGGAAGTCGACGTCTCGGCCGATGGAGCCGAGGCACTGAGGGATACAGGCAATGAATATCCCAAACCCAACCCGGCTCCAGTGTCCTTCGTTCCCAATTAGTCGCTGAAAAAGCCATCATTTAAAAAAAGAAAAAAGAAAACAAAAAAAAAGGATGCTATTTATTAGTGCGTAAAAAAATAGGTTTGGAATCCCTGTTTCGACCTCTGCATGTGTTGGCTCGGGGGTTGCCCTGGGCGGTGCCGCGTCGTCCGGGCTGTCCCTGCTGTCCCTGGGCTGTCCCTGGGCTGTGCCCAGGCTGTCCCGGTGTCCTGCGGGGCGGCCCCAGCGTGGGCAGGGGCTCAGAAGATGTCGGGGCACACGCTCCAGTCCTGCTTTTCCTTGGCCTCCCAGTAGCCGCCCTTGTAGACGCAGATGAGCTCCCCGGTCACGGCGTCCACCTTCCGCTCGAACCACAGCGGGATGTACCCCTCGTAGTCCTTCCCTGTCCCAGGAGGAACACGGTCAGCGACGCTTTTCCACCTGAAATCCGGTGAGTCCCACACCTCCCACGGCCACAGAGAGCTGTGGGATCCATCCACCCCTTCCCTGTCCCACGCCGTCCCCACCCAGGGACATCCCGGATCACCTCACCTTCCTCCAGGGCCTCCACGGCCTCGGCCTCCCTCCTGCGGCGCACGGCCCGCTGCTTCT